CTGGCAGTGAGAGCAGCTCCTAGGTGTAAACAAGTCTGAGCCTTTCCTTTTCAGGAGTAAACAAGCAGTTTTAGCCCAGCCCACCACCAGCATTTCCTTACAATTCCTTTTTTTTTTTTTTCTTCTTCTTCTTCCTTTAGATTGCTTTGGCTCAGCAGGTTCACAAACCACTGCTTCTTGTGCCTGTTCCTGTCTGTAAAATGAGGGTAGTGATCCAGCTATCTAAAATAGTACAGAACTGTAGAGCATTTTCATTTTGTTATTATTTTCTGCCTCTGCTGCTTAACTGCTTTGCCAAATCATTGCTTGGCTTTGGTGTTCCACCTACACATTTTAGCACCCTGATTGCAGGATACTTTAATGATGCCTGGCCGTCACTAGCTGCTTGCAGAAACGAGGTCTAGCACAACGCCTGTGAGTCAGGTAAGTATTAGGCCTGAGTTACTAATGTGGAAAGAAATATTGAGAGTAGTACAGTGTTGGTCTGGAAATGTAGTTCAGAGGCAGAAACGCCAACCTTTTTATCTGCCGTTCCAGGCTTTAACTGAAAGCTGTCCTTTCTCAGTTTATGATTTTATAGTTCACCTTTTTGCCTCATTAATGCCTAATACTTGTTAATGCCTAATACTAACGGTAGAGCCATTTCAGGGTAACCTATATTTGCTATCTGTGCACAGTCATTACTCTTGAGAGTTGTACTTTCAGTACAAATGATGCACAGAATGAATTCTGCTGTTAACCAGCCTTTGTTCCAAGTTTTCCAGTGGCCTGCACTTCCAGTTGGGAGCTTGATTTCTTTGAACTGGTGGTGCACCCAATCGACATAGACACGTTTTGGTTGGTGTCATGACCCCCTGGTTGGAGACTGGTGTTTTAAGCATTACAGAGTGGTGAGCAAACTGTCTCAGTTCCCCATGACATAACTGAAAGTGCGATTAGGCCAACGCTGATGCTCAGACCTGCCTTTTCAGAATCTGAGCATCATATCTTTGAATTGTCCTGCATGAATTTTGCTTCTCTTTCTCAGGATATGAAATGGGGAGTGGAGTTTGTCCTGCATGCTGCTGTTGCGCAGTAGCCATCTTGGAGTGATAAATAAAAAATGAGAAGCACCTTTGATAACTGGTGCTGAAGGATTTAATGGTCTCGTTTCTTTGAAGCAAATGAATTCTGCTCCCCTTATAATCCAGTTAGCTGACATTGTGTCCAAGGTTTCTTCTTCCGCTGTTCTGACGGAGCCTACAGAGTTCCAAAAGCAGAGAATGATTTCTGCCTCTGGCTGAAAATGAGGTTCATTAGCTTGGAAGTGCTGGCTGAGACCTTGCTGGGGGAAGGGGAGCTGCTGTTGTATTTTCTGCATCCCTTGTGCCATTTTGGACTTCAGCAGTGTTTATTTTTAGTACTTTTAAAGGCTGCAGAAGGAAGGGGCAGTTGTAATATGGCATATTTACATCATGCTGTCAGTTCCTGGCAGCTTACTCGCCTGTCAGAGAACAGAATTAGTCCATTAAGGATGTGAGTGCTACTTCGGCCCACGAGTGGTGAAACATCGTCTCAAGGGTGGGAAGGCCTCCCCAGGCTAGCAGGTTGGTTTGTTTTTTCTAAGGTGCATTATGGGGATTTTTTTTCTTCTTCCCCATGTCATGGAGATAGGAATGTGCCATGCTACCTCCCACTTTTTTCTCCTTCTCCTCTACTCTGTGTAGGAAAAAGAGAGGCAAAGTCTCTACGAGATCAGCATGTGCTGGTTTTTCCCTTCATGTCACGCTTAAGTTCTCTGCCCCATTATAAAAATAAAAATCTATAAATAAAATAGAACAAATGCTGAGGGGGACAAACTGGACCCACAGTTATGTGCATGTCGTCACTTGTAGAAGTGTGCCTAGCCCCATTCCTCCCAGGCTTCATACATTCCCTGTTTCCTATGCTGTCAGCCTCTCAGGATGGGAAACATGCACAGATAGTCCTGGCTGGAGTTTTTTTTTGTCCTACCATAACATAATATTAATTGAGCTAAGTCTGAAATGATGTTGGGCTTATCTGCTGTTGAATTAGCTCATGCTCCATTTATATATATTTTTTTTTTTCCCTCTTTGTCTGGAAAAAAAAAAAAGTTGCTATGGGTTTTGCTGACACACTTTAATTTTGCAGTCATACCTTTCTCCTGGAATTAAGCAGTATTTAGGTCTGATCTTTCATATATGACATGCTGTCTCTGTTAGCTTCAAGTATAGGCACCCTATGATTTCCCTTTCTTGGAAACTGCTCTGTCTCAGCGTGTGGGTAGGAGGCCATGTAAATAAATACCAACCACTTCTTAGCCTTCAGTAGGCATTTCCTTTTTCCTGGTGGCTACAGAAGAAACACTTTCTCACAGTTTGGCATCAAACATTTATAAAACTTTCCTGCTTGTGGAATTTTTGTTTAGACAGTCAGATTCTTGGTATAGTTTTTTTCATCAGTTTCTATTTTTACTCATCTGTGGTTGCTTGGTTTGTCATTAAATAGTGTCTGTAAGAACAAACACTTCATCAGAAACTTCTTAAATTTCTGGTAATTGAATAGCAAATCATTATAAGCATGTCTGTAATAGTGAAAGATAAGTTTTAAAGAATAAAAATTAAGCTTATCTAGGTTTTTTTCTTAGTTATGGTGGAATAAATAACTGGTATTTCTGCGCAAAACATTTTTTTTTTAATATATAACCTGGCTTAAATGTCTGAAATAGAAAACAAAGTACCTAACATTACCATGTGGTCCAGCTTTCAACTGAAAAAAAATAATTTGCTTTTAATACAAAGTTTAATATGTCTTCTCCTGAATTTATATGCCAGGATATCTTTCAAGTGTGTGCCACTTTGTCATGGCAGCAAAGCTAACACATTGTTACCTTTTAAATGCTACCAGAACTATTTAGGACATAAATTTATAATATCAATAAAAATCAGTATTAGAGGACAGTGCACTTCTAATTTTTATACATATGCTTAGTATTATTTATCTCAGTGGTAATAATTACTGAATGGATGACAGCATACTCTCCATTCAGGGAGAGCCCCAAAGGGCTCAGAGAATATATATGCCCTGGAAGAGGGATATAGATGTGCACTGTGATAAATAGCTATAGACTGGCACAGAACTAGACTTCATCAGAATTGTTATTAGATGAAAAAGTGAAGAATATACATATGTATGATCTTTTGTGGGTAATAATTTCTAGGATGGCTAAGGTAGAGGCAGTTTGAAAATCCATCAGATCCTTTTAATATAATACTCCTACACTGGATTTGATGACTTTTTTTATTCAACAAAACAAGACAGTAGAAACCATGCTTTTCCAGAAGGGCCTTTGAAATATGCTTTTTCCTCTACTGAGGCCTGTTATGAAGCTGTCTAGGAAAGTGAGCCATTGTTGGACACATCACTGTATTTTTATAGTTTCACTCTTAGGTACATTCTCATCCAGTTTAGTTTTGCAATCTGCTGAAGCTTAGCCAAGTTGAATTGCATCTGCCCTCACAGTACACACATCTCAGTCTAGCTAGGACTTCTTCCAGTTCTGTGCAGTGGAAGTTACTTTTGTGTATTTCTTCTGGGAAATATGTATTGAGAAAAACAAGTCCTAATTTGATTTGTCCCTTTTTCCCTGTTTTATGGCATACAATAAAATATTATCACATGCATATTTCTTACTTGAGCCAGCCATCATAAGGGATGTCCTAGTTCACAATTCTTCAGCAAGTGCAATGGGTGCTAGACTTTACAGCTAGTTCTAATGATGGCTGGACAGAGACGAGTCAGTCTTGCTTCATGCTGGCAGATAAGGGACTCTGAAGGAATTCTAAGCTTTCCGAGTTTGGTGATCTGTTGAACTTCCATAGAGTCACTGTGTACCCCATTTGGTATCCGCTGCACAAATTTCAGGGCATAAATCCTCCCCCCACTCCATTGCTGCCATAGTAATCGCAGCAGCCCTAACAGTGCCTTAATGGCCTTTGAAAGCTGTTAAACTCTGTACTGTGTTAGTACCCTTGTCAGCAATTTTACCGTGATGTGCAAAAATAGAACGGGCGTATGAGGGTGCAAGTGTTGCACCTCTTGTCTTTGGATTGCTTCTACTTAGCAGCAGGTGTATTTGCAAAGCAGAATGGAGAGGTTTGCCCCGGTTTATCCATCAGTACAAGGACTTCAGGAAGTTTAACACAATGAAAACAGTTAATAATCTTAGGGCTTTTTTGTTCTGATGTCATAAAGCAGCTTGAGAGTGTGACTAGTCCTTAATTTGGGGTGACAGGAAGCAAGAAGCCTAGAAAAGGTGAAATTGTAGTGATTGTGCTGTAAATGAGAATGTGTTGTAACTGAGAGTTGTGATGAAAATGCAAAAGGAGTTGGCTACAGCAAAAGTGAATAGGACAATCCTGCTGTTTGGAGAAACAAGCTGGTTAGATTAGAGTCTGGTTTTGTTTGTATATGGTGTATATATAAAACCTTGATGATGGTATGATTTTCACTAATTTGTATGATTTTTGTATTTTCCACTGGAGGAATGAAAATTTATCCCTTGGATCATCATATGCTTCCCCTAAATAATAATAGTAATTCTAGATAGAGATTAATTGTATGTCACAGGTTACTCCAGTTGCTATGCAGATGTAGTAGAACAGTTCTGTATTGATTAGACACTTTCATTTTAGTCATGTCTGACCCTTTTCTTTTTAGAATTTGGAGGAATGAAGAATAATAAGTGTAGATGCTTATGTGTTTGAGTTGGAATTTTTTTATTAGGAAATGTTTTAAAAGGGTCAGTGAAAAACAGAACTGGAATTGAGGTTTCATTTCTGTTGCAGGTATGTCTATGAAAGATAAGCAGACATTTCAATTTTGGATATTCCCTTATGATAATAAATGTGCCAAAGGCATTACCAACTAAACAGAGCTTGCTGAGATCAGGCTTCTTTGAGACTTTTCACATAGTCTTATTTTAATGTGTTTTTTTCTAGGAAAAAGAGAAGAAGTATATGCTTCCTTTGGACAACTTGAAAGTACGAGATGTTGAAAAGAGCTTCATGTCTAGCAAACATATCTTTGCATTGTTTAACACAGAGCAGAGGTAAGAAAATGTGCTATTCTGCAGGTACTTTAGAACTGTATCTAGCTGAGCATTTTAATAACTGGGAATGCAGTTCTGGGGTTTCCACTATGTTGAGTGAACAAAGATCTCGGTACTCTTGATTTATCTGCTTCTTTGCTGTTGCATAACCATGGGATGAAAGGTTAGTGTCCTCCTAGCCACTCATGGGGTGAAACAGCTCCATGATTAGTCATTTAGTTCTTCTGTGTGGTGGAATAATCATCTCCTGATCCTATTTTTGTTTTGTTTGGCAATCACATAGGCTTACCAAAACATTCATGACTTCTGTACCTTGTGACCAGATTAAACTGGTGTAAATCACAAAAGCGTCATTGCTTTTCACTTTCTCCAGTGGAAAATCTTGCCTGTCTGTAATCTTGGGAGTCATTCTATTGTTTGTTTGGGTTTAAACAGTGCTGAATGGGGAACAAATGAGATTCCTCTACTTTCCTAATTAATTAGAATCTTTGCTTTGTAGTGTTTGCCTCATACTTTTTCCTTTCAGACTCCATCCTCTGATTTAAGTTATGTGGGTACTCTATGGAAGCCTATTCCTGATGCACAGCCAATTGAAATTAATGTGCACAAATAAGTCAAGGAAACATGACAACACTTAAAAACATACAAGTGACCTGTAAATTTTACTTTTTTTTTTTTTTTTTTTTTACTGTAGAGGAGGGTTGCATTTGCAGCTCAGTGGAATTGCATTTCAGCAGATAAAGTGCAATTTCTGTAAGTTCTTTTTCAGGAAAATAAATTGTAGTGGCAACATGCATAGATGCCCTCGTTTTCCTCTTCTCTTCTGCTAAGTCCCTTCGCACCCACTCCCCCCTTGCATCGTCAAAGCTTGGCAATACATTCAGATGTTGTTCAAGATGATGAGGGCTGGATGTGGCTCCCTGCAGAGCCAGCTGTTGTTGCTCCTGAACTGGCCAGAAATAGTCCTTTCAGAAGCAAGGAATGCCCCTCCCTCCTGCAAAGCAAAAGCAAAGCACAGGATTTCTGGGCTGTCAAGTTTCTGCTGGCCCCAGAAACATGAGGACGCAATGTGAGTCTCGCTCAGAACTACCCTGTGAAGGCTTTGCCTACATCTGCTGACATCTCAGCTAGCCTACATGTGGACATTGTCTGCCAGGAGATGCCCTTTGAAAGTATGTCGCACACATACTTGCTGGGAATAAGATTTCAAACACTTGACCACTTGTGTTTCTGGAATACAGAAAAAAGTTTTGAAAAACTTCTCATGTTTTTAAAAACAGAAATGATCTTCAGATGCTGGAAATGAACGTAATTCTGATTATTCTGCTATAGATATGTGTGCATCGTCCCAACATTGCATGTACATCAGTCAAGAAAGATAACTTTGTCCTGGTGGCTTGATATCAGCTGTATATATTAAGTTCCTTCCATGAGAAATCTGTTAATTTTAGCTCATTGTTTCTCCTTTGTTTTGGCTAAAGGCTTTGAGTATTTTTGTCATCTTAAATATTAATCACTGAACTGCTGTGAAAATCCAAGAGAAGCATGTGTTTCCATTGGCAAGTTTGGGATTTATTTGGGCGTTATATAGCTGCACATTCACATTTTCACTGAATTTTCATACACACTGGACAGCAGGGATTTCAGATGTCTAAAATGTTTGCCGTGTCTGTAATAGCCCTGCCCATTTGGGCTGTGAGTAGACCCTCCAGCATCTGCAAGCTGCTCTAAAAACATCCTTATATCTATACAGGCATGTTAAGACATGACAGCACAGTAATAAGAGGACAAAATAACTTTACCTTGGGAGAGGCTGTTTATGAAGAGAGTCTTCCAGTTTAAAAGGAGGCAGAACTTGTTCTTGAAGAAATATTTATTGAAATTACAACAGCAATTCCTTATAAAACAGCTGATTTTTGATATTTCTAAAAATCTGTCTGCTGGCACAAATTGGTCAAAACAAGTTTAGTATCACTTTCCAGTGTCCCCTAAATTCATAGATTTTGTCAACAGAAGTAGGGATATTGGGGCTTGAGTAAAGGGATCTGGTCCTCAACTGGGGACTGGCTTCCCTGTCCCACATTGTTAGGGAAGCTGAAACAGGGAATTGGCAAAGATCTGTTGAAATAAGGAGTCTCGTTGTTTTACTTTATGCTAATCTGTTGATTTCTGGTTTCTAAATGTGTGTGTATGTATGTGTGAGTATGGCTTGCTTTTCAAAATTCATGTGAAAATTAAATTAATTTCTGGTGGGTTTTTTTGAGGGGGTGGGGGATGGTGTTTGGGTTTTTTTAAATTAAAAAAACCTTAGCAATTGAGAAAAGAAATCAGCTTTCTCTTTCTGAGTTTACCCACTGAGGGTTCTGGTTATGGAACCATTTTGCTATTTAAGATGTAGAACATTAAAGAACAAAGGCAAAATCATCTGTTCCAGCTTCCATGATAGCATGGAGATTATTCTGTATCTTTTTTTTTTCCCCTATAATCTGCAGCATTTTTTTTTTATCAACTACGCAAACTTTCTTAATGTTCAATTAAAGTATTTTAATTTTCAAGCAAAATCCCTTTAGGAGAAAAATTTTAATAAGCTTGTTCTCTTTTTCATTCCCAGCCCCTCACTGCATAGGTATTTGCTACAGCCATATGTTTCTGATACTGTACATTTCAATAGTTTCCTGGATTATGCATTGCATTTTTTCCATTTATGAAAACCTTTCCAGTTCTGAAATACAGTTACCAGGAAAATGCTCATTTCACTGCATAGAAGGAAAAACCATCTTGAGTTAGCTGAGGCTTGGGGATAGATGCAGAAGGAAACTAACAGTATCTGTCATTTTGATTTACTGCAGAAGTCAACAGTTCTCTGACAGGAATCAAATGTGACTTGGTAATGTATAGTAAATGGAGACTGTGACGATTGATTTCACAGTGAAGATAAATTCTCATGAACATAATTGTATGTTTATGAAAAGGCTGCATTGTGAAATAATTAAATTCTTTTCCTGTTACTTTCTAATTAAATTTTTTTAAAAAGAAAAAAAAAATGAATACTCTTCATCTTAAAGAGATATAGTATTGCTTAAAGAATGAGGGGTGATTTTCGCTTTTCAGCAAACAAAATATTTTTAAAGTTTTTGAGTGGGCCCATGTACTTACATTATAGGAACCATGGAAGACCTTTGGAGGTGGACTCCTCTAGTTTACTTACCTTAGCAATACTAGATATTAAAGCAAAGCATATGAGTGAGTGCTCTTTGACTCCTGGCTCATTTTTGGCTGTGTCCGTTTACATTAATCTGCCTTTTAGCAACTGAAGTTGAGCTGTAAGGTCAAGCAGTACGTGTCTAAACCTAAAGCTGTCAAGAAAGTGAGTGTTATTTTGTGTTGACCATCCATTTCTCCCCCATAGTAAACTGCTGGGAAGTCTTCCAGACTGAAAAAGAGATCAAATATATTAAAAGTATTTGAAAATAATTATACTGTAGGAAAAAACCTGAACGTTTGCTTTAGAACATAATGTGAAGTTGTGTAGATGAAGCTGCTGATTGACTTTCTTAGGCAGAGCTAAGAATGGAGGAGAGGGGATTTTGTCAATGCATGTGCATACATTAACCTGTGATGTCCTCATTGATGAATGTGTAAGATTATTCTGCAGAGTTCAAGAACAAATAAAACAAATTCTGCCTATCCCAGAAAGTTTACATTCGTTCTAGGATTTCATTCCACTTTACCAATTCCCCATGCATTTCCTGTAAAACTGATCCGCTGATTGCTTTTTCTTTTAGCTAATACTGTAGTCTGGGACAAGAACTGTAGTCTTAAGTGTGCCTATGGGTCCCATCTCCCCTTAATTAAGAAGGGCAATCAGTCATTATTTCTCATGATCTTGCCCAGTTGACTACAGGATCCACTATTTTACTAGATTCTGTGTCACTCTAAAGCAGTCCTTTGCCTTTGCAGTAGTTTTTTCCTGATTTCTTCTTCAATAAATTGTATTACTGTGTTGCAACTCCATCTAAATACTACTTTTTTTTTTTTTTTTTTAAGTAAAGGAGGAATGATGATTAAAAACTCTCTTCTTTTGCTACAAGCAGAGAAAGGGCTTCCTTTCCACCTCTTCTCTAAGTCTGGAGAGATGAATTCTTTCTCTTTTGTGGGAGAAGAGATTCTACTACGTAAAGATTTTGGGGGTTATAAAATGGTAGTAGGCTGAAGTGTTTGTTGAGTTGGTGAATTTCTAGGCCTTTCTTACCAATACTGGGAATAGCAACCGTACAATGAGGAAGGGTTACCTGGTGGAGAGACCCTTATCAGTAGTCTTATGCAGGAAGCTCTGTTCCTCTTCAGACTCATTCCTTTCCTTGGAGCCAAAGGAGCAGAAACAGTGTGTGAAATTCTCCCTTCCTTGCAGAGGAAGATCCCACCAAGTCTCCCTGTCGTCTGCTTTCCTGCCCAGCCAGGATCCAGATGAAACCAAGTTGCTTTCCTCACCTCTGTGGTTCTGTATGATAGGGGGATGTGAGGAGCAAATTCAAAGCACAGAACTGTTCCTGTCTGCTTTCAAAAGAATAGGTTCCTAATAGCTAATTGCTCCTCAGTAGTCATGAAGCAGTGTGACAGAGCCTAGCATCCCTGCATGATTGCTGACTGTCTGGGGCAGGCTCATTGTAGAAACAGATCCTTAATCTGAGAAACAGATGAATGTCAAGAGGAGAGCGATCAAAAGGAACTTTTGAGGGTGCACAATAGGACTGGAAATAGAACTGCCAGATGATTAATTTTGGCTACCAGCTCCTGCATGCACTCTGACTGTCAGGAATTAACCTTGCAGGAGAAACTGTTGTCTAGTAGGACCCAGGAAAGTGTGCTATGTCTACTCAGTAAAAGGTATAACAGTATTTATTTCGTGTGTGTGTTGTTGGCTGAGTGTTGCTGTAGAAGGGGATGGAGCACAAGTCTTCTCTGGGACTCCAAATGCACTAGGGCTTTAAGTACTGAAT